CCTTGGTTTCAAGTTCATTTTTGCAGGGTGAAGAAGAAGGATAGACTCATTACCTCGAGCTGAACATCCCGTTTTATTTTTTACGTCGTAGTCATACAGAACTGTCGTACTCGGTATTGATTTGATTTGCAAGTCGTCAGTCTTCCTTTGAAGTTTCTCTGTTGCAGGTTTGTTAACTAACTAAGCTATAAAGTAAAGATGATTACTTCGAGGACTCCGATATGAAGGTGAAAGATTTATGTTTCCAGACGTGATTGAAAATTTGCCGGCTACCAGGGCGTTTTTAGTACTGAGTGCAGTCAAGCAGAGCGATCAATTCTTCCTGAGCTGTGCTGTGCACGAAAGTAGGCAATTGCGATGAAAAACCTTGTCTGAGCACAGGCTGCGGTTGAGTCTTGTGACTCGTTTGTTCTTTTTGAGCATTAGTCAATTGAGTGACTCTCCATTTCGAACTGATCAATCGGCACTCCTAAGTGCGCCATCAGCACCGGCGCTCCACTGGTCTCCTGGGAGCGAGCGAAGATCAGATTTCGCAAAGCTCTGATCGGCAGACAAGGCGACGCTTCGTTCGATCCTCGCAAACGGCCTTGTGCTGCTGAACCGTTGATCCGGGACCAGCCATTCAATTCTTGACTAGGGGCTGGGGCTGTACTCGAAGCCGGGCCGCATCATTCGATCGTCGTACCTCAGCAGACTCAGCGGAATGAGCCTCAGCAGAGACTTACCGCCAACTGGCTCGAAGCGGCGGTTCGTAAATGTCGCCTAATGACGGCGGCGCACAAGACTTGAGGCGCTTATGATGAAGTTCAGATCTTCAATCAAAACTGACATTTTGCGCTGTTCTTCAGCCACACCGACAGACACAAAGCCGATGCAATCAAAATGAGACGTCATATCGAATTTGGCCGATTTCAACGAATCCGAAATGGCGATTAGAACCAATGAACGACTGTCTGTGCAAAATCTCATGTTCCTTAATATGATCGAACGGTGTTCGCCGTCTTCAGACGTCTGCTGCCATTGATACGATGACTGACGACAAGCACACGAGTAAACAAAACATACTAACCTAGTGCCTACCTTTTTAATCACTCCCATATTACATATACATAGATATATGTGTGGCTTCCGGCCCGGTCAAAGCACCTCTCACCATATATTTGCCCTGCGCCAGATTGTTGAGAAATCGTGGGAGTACGCCCAGCCAGAGTACATGTGTTTTGTGGACCTGGAAAAAGCGTATGACCGGATCCCACGCAACAGTCTGTGGACATGCCTTCGTGCATATGCGATTGATGGCAAGTTGCTGAGGGCCATCCAGTCAC